GGATCGATGGGCTGATGACAGCGCGGTGCCCTAACAGCCGCGCCACCGCTGCAACGACAGAGAAATCCGTGGCACGATTGAAAAAAAAATGTTTTGCCATTCTCACCCAAAGGATGATACAACATTTGGGCATTGGTGTTGATCAGCTGTACGGTGAGTTTTGTCACAACTGGTTTAGGTTCTAATAAAGGAGGTCTAATGATGGTTTAGGTTCTGTGTAGTTTTCATAACAGAACACGTGCCGTGTGCTGGGATGGATTGGCCTGAGTGAATACAAAGTCGATTTGCTCCCCGAATATATATTTTAAAAAAAACACGAAAGCCAAAAACAAAGTGGAAAAAAACACACGAGTTCAATGTTTGTACTGTTTAATTCACGCCACGGTTTAATACAGTAAAACACCGCTGTTCCAAACGCCCGTTCCCGATCAGTAACACTGAATGGGGGTTGAGGGATTGAAAGGGAACACATTTATCTAGGGAAATTCTCTCCTGGAGAGAGAGAGAGGACCACAGTGAAGACCGGACCGCCACTAACACACGGTGGTTCACCGCACACGATTCACGCACTGCGGTGAGACTTGCTCGTCAATGTTCACAGGAGTTCATCACCGCCCGATCCACCACAACACATCCCAACAAACGCACGCCTCTTCTTTGGTTCTTTCGGTAAAGTCACGTAGAATGAGAATAAAATAATAAATTGAAGGCCGCTTGTGTTGTGGCCGAAACGTCGTGAGAATATTGTTATTTTATCAATTTATTTTATTCTCATTCTACGTGACTTTACCGAAAGAACCAAAGAAGATGAATCCTTGCAGTCACGAAAGCTTTAAATCGAAATTTAAACGCACGCCTGCCCTGGACATCTGACCGTTATCACCCAGTAGTCTGGCCAAGCGGTGACATGGGACACATCCTTCATTCATCAATCGTCCATCGGTGTATGTCTAAAACACCAACATGCTCGTGGATGCAAATTATTTAACCCAAGACTCTTTTTTCAGGAGGGTCCCACCGCTTTTGGAACGTGAGTGTGTTTGCCCTTATTGAAAACAAACACCAGACTACCAACGTAGAAATACAATACAATTATATTGAAAACAAAACAATCACGACGTTTCGATCACAACACAAGCGAGTAATTTTATGCAGTCACGAAAGCTTTAATTCTTTATTACCAGACTACCAAGTCAGGTTAGGGGGGGGGGGCCCACACACACACTCACCACTGCCATCTCCTGGCCACACAAACACCTGGCAAGCCCCTGGTGGTCACCCATCCGAGACCTCACGAGGCTCGAACCCGCTGCCATCTCCTGGCCACACAAACACCTGGCAAGCCCCTGGTGGTCACCCATCCGAGACCTCACGAGGCTCGAACCCGCCTTTGGCTTTTGAGGTTGGGCGCGCTTACGGTAAAATGTGGCTGCAGATTTGGGTCATCACCAGACTTGGGAAGATTGCAAAAGCGGCGTGCAAACTCTGTCCCGCACAATCTCAAGTGCCCCCCCCCCCCACTATTAATTTTCTCATAGCCAAGCCCGCTCACCACCCGTCCCTCCCATCCACAGCCCCCCCCCCCCCATGGGGCTTAATTAGAGGTCATTGTGATTAATTGGCCGAAACCAGGAGCCGAGCTTGACGATGCCTTGGGGGATAGATGCACGCGCGCGTGTGTGGGGAGCGGTGGTGCAGCGGTTAGCGCGCTGCGCTACGAACCTGGCGACCCGGGTTCGATTCCCGTTCACGGCCAACACCCAGTGACGATTATCTCAACCGGTCCCGGGCCTCCCCCTAGGTCGATTCAGCCTCAAATGAGTACCCTGGTGCGGTGTGTAGTAAACATCGCCACTGGGGAGACAAAGGCGGTCGGGCGTGGTGCTGCCCCGCCCCCCTTGTGTACCGTTCCGGCCTTCGTAGGTGCTCGCTAACAGCACTTGCCCCTACAGTCTGTTAAGGCTATACGGGGGATCTTTGTGTGTGTACGCGTGTGTCGTAGCTGGCGAAGCTGCGAGCGTGAACGCCACTCCTGCATGGACCCCATCCCAGCCACCGGCACCCCGCCTGGCTGGCGTTGGCGGCTCTGCCAAACGCCAGCGATGAAAATAAAATCGGCGCAGGAGCGAGAAGGCCGGACGGTGGTGGTGATGATGATAAACCTAATGCTTAACCCCGCGGTTGCTACTATATATATTTAAAAAAACTTTTGCGATCGTGATATTAAAATTAGGACGAGTATCGCAATAACAGTTCCTTGTACGATTGTAATTTGTTTAATTATTGTTTTCATTGATTTGATCAAGAATTTAAAAAATATCGCTCCTTCAAAGATCTTCAACTGCAGTTTCGCTCACAATCCCACCACAAGTCTACGGAAATCGCCGCGATTAAAAAATGTGTGCGGTTGCTTATAAGGATGGCGATATGTCACCAACTATGCCGTCAATCAGGAACACGTGTTTACAAAGCACCCATTAAACGGTGCGCGATACGTTGCATTTTTTAATTTTAACTTTTATTCCGAACCATGTAATAATCCTTCTGGAAGGAAAATAAATATTTATTATTTTTTTTCTGAATGAGGCAAGATAATAGTGCTATATCTTGCACAGTGGGCAGTAGTATTATTGTTGATTTCATTGTTGTAGTATCGCCATATCCCGGAAACACAACCGATCCAGAACCAACATTCAAACATTGACCCATCGATTAAAAAGCGATCGTGCAGCTCATGATACATTTATAAAACTATGCGTGTAGTAACTAATAATGCAAATCACGTCGACGGAACGACAATCAAAAACAAACAAGCCACAATGGGAATTAAAAAAACATCCATTCGTAAAAAAAAAGTTACCCAGAATCCTGACAATTCCTTGAATGACGCGTGGAGTGGAGGTGAATTGTTACACCCCCTACCTTGTGCTGACCTTAGCCCTAACCCCTAAACCCTGACAGCCCCCCACTCCACTAGCAAAGGGACCCCCCCCCACAACCCCTTTTCATTTCGTTTGCTTCTCAATTTGTGTCGTCGTTGTTTTGTTCTGAGAGCCAAGCTCGCACGCCATGGCCGGGCTCGATCCACAAGAGGGCGCATTTGTTCCCTGGAGGGAGAGGGCATTACAACACAATCGCTCCTTCTTTGGTTCTTTCGGTAAAGTTACGTAGAATGAGAATAAAATAATAAATTGATAAAATAAAATAACACAATAACATTCTCAATGTATTATTTTATTCTCATTCTACGTGACTTTACCGAAAGAACCAAAGAAGATGAATCCTTGCAGTCACGAAAGCTTTAAATCGAAACAATCGTTCCTGTTGTCGCGGATGTGCAATAATAACCACGGGCTGCAGATGTCTCTCTCCAGAGAGCAGCTTCAAACGACAGGGGCGGGAGGGGGGCCATGATTAACTCTCACGCTTTTTTCTGTTTCGTTTGTTTAAAAAAAAAAACATGTAGCAATATTTAAAAAAATGACACGTACTCTGTAAACGGTGTCGTCCGGTGAGCGGAGAGAGATGTCGATTAAAAACACGTGACGTTTACTCAACACAACGGCGCTCATTGAAAGGGGTTTGTCATTTACAGAAGTCTGCCTTGCTGAGGATGGAAGCGTCTCCGAGGTCTTCCAAGGGCGAGACCGCTGCCGGTAAAGCAAAAAAAAACCCTAAAATTAAAACCTCCCCCACGTCTTCGTTCTTTGACTTCGCGAATTCCGACTCAAGCCGCATGGCCCATATGACAGCTGGACAGCAAACAGCTGGGCGCGTTGGAACGCCACGGTTTTTTTCTTTTCTTATTATCCCAAACACGAATTACGAAGAAAAACAAAATCCCCACCTCGATTAAAATGGAATGGTCCGCGACCAACTCTCTCACACCTGCAGACCGGCAGTCAGCTGTGGAGCAAACCAAATCCCTCGGAGGAAGGGGGAGGACGGTGGCTGTGGCTTGGGGAAAGCAACTTTATGGGGGGTTTTTTTGCGGCCGGATCTCCACCCCAACCCCCCCCCCATGGTTTTGTCGGCGAGCTGTGGAGACGCGCAGAGGGAGAAGTCGCAGGGGCGCCTCCCGGCAGCGTTCACTTCGCCCTCACTGCTGCTTCTTCCCACCGCCGCTTTGCAGCCCGTTCTCTTGAGCCTCGCTGCACGCGACGGGGCAGGTGGGGGGCAGGGGGGGCACGGGGGGGGGCACGGGGGGGGGGCACGGGGGGGGGCACGGGGGGGGGGGGCACGCGCCGATGAGAGAGTTTCGTGATTTCGGCGCGAGCTTTGCCGAACGCACCGATGAATCGGCGCGAGACGAACAACAACAACAACCACAGCAGCGGAGGTGGCACGCGCGTGCTCCACAAAGTTCGCGAAGCCACCGAGGAAATCTGTCGCAGGGGAAGCGAGTGGAGGCCACAGCAGAGCGGTGTGCGTGCGTATGCGTGCGTGTATGTGCGTGTGCGTGCGTGTGTGCGTGTATGTGCGTACGTGTGTGTGCGTGCGTGTGCGTGCGTGCTCTATTTAACTCCATCAAAAAAGTAACCTGCAGTGCCACACCCATTACCATCATTAGGGGAAAAAAATGGTGTTCCAATCTCCGACCCCCAGGAACAGGTTTGCAGATTTACTGAGCATTTCTGTGAGGTCCTGGGGGAAGGGAAACCCCTCAGCCAGGAAAACCCCTCAGCCAGGAAAACATCGTGGCAAAAAGTGGGGATGACCCTGCTGAGGCTGCGGTGCCTCAAATATTGGAAGAAGTCACCCCCTGTGAGTGGCTGGCTGAGGTGTCATCTGTTGAGGAAGTACTGAAGGTGATCCGGAGTCTGAGACCAGGAAAGGCACCGGGTAGAGATGATCTCCCAAGCGAAATGCTGAGGGAGGGTGGCGTTTGTGCACAGACTGCCCTATATGACATCATAACAACAGTCTGGACCACTGGGCGGGTTCTGCAGGATTGGAAGGATTCCCTGGTGGTCCCCCTCTTTAAGAAGGGGGACCGCACAGACTGTAACAACTACAGGGGCATCTCACTCCTCAGTGTGCCGGGAAAGGTCCTGGCAAGGATTATTCAACATCGCCTTGCCAGGCACGCTGAGGATAGGCTTGCGGAGCCCCAATGCGGTTTCAGGAAAGGGCGGTCCTGCACAGATGCCATATTTTCTGTTCGTCTGATATAGCAAAGGTGTAGGGAATTCCAACAAGACCTACATCTTTGCTTTATTGACCTGGTCAAGGCCTATGATACCATCAGTAGGCCTGGGCTCTGAGTTGTTCTTCGTGCTTTTGGAGTCACTGACCTGCTCACGATCATTAAGGACCTTCATGATGGTGAGCGGGCCCGGGTAAAACTACGTGGCCGGAAGTCAGAGCCATTCCCTGTACACCTTGGGGTGCGACAGGGATGTCCTCTGGCTCCCACATTATTTAACATCTATTTTGACCACGTAGTTTGTGAAGCCTTCAATAGCTGTACCGGGGGAATCTCCATTTGGTACAGATATAATGGGAGGCTGATCGATGCCCGGGTGCGGTCAAGGGATGGCTCCCTATTGCTAAACCACGTTATGTATGCCGATGATTTGGTAATAGCTGCTCATTCAGAGGAGGAGTTGGAGACGCTGCTGCTGAGACTGGAGCGTGCCACTAAGAGATGGGGCCTTACCATCAGCCCCACCAAAAATAAGCACCTGCCTGGGTATTTTGTACCATCGGACACTCCACCCCCACAACTCCCAATCGGTGATGGGGCAGTTGTGGAGAGAGTGGAGAGTTTCCCATACCTGGGCAGTGTGCTTATGACCGGCTCCAGTTTAACAGCGGAGGTCTCACTCCGAATCAGTCGAGCGGCAATATCTTTTCATCGGTTGCGTAACGCTGTGTGTGGAAGCTACCTGGTCTGTCACTCCGCACTAAGCTTCAGGTCTTCTCAGCCACGGTCATTCCCTCCCTTCTCTACGCTTGCGAAACGTGGACCCCCTTAATGGAACATCTTCGCCGGTTAGAAAAATTTAGGCTAGCCTGCCTACGATCCATCCTGGGTTTAACCAGGCGGGATTGTGTGAGGAGCTCACAAATCTTTGAAAGATCTGGGCAAGGTCCCATTGGTGAGCTCCTCCGGCAGGCAAGGCTGGGTCATGTAGCCCACATGCCCAGCCACCGCATGCCGAAACAGCTTCTGTTCGGCCGGATCGAGGGGGCTAAACGCGCGCGGCACGGGCTAGAGAAGAGATGGAGTGATGTGGTACAGGAGGACGTGGAGGTGAGTGGACTTGCTGATGACTGGTAGCAGCGGTGTCAAGATCGGCCTCTGTGGAGGAGGCTCGTGAAAGACAACGAGCGGAGCGCCGGGTGACTAAAGCACAGTAGGTTGGCACAGTAGGGGGCACAGGTGGTGCATCAGCCAGTCATCTCAGTCGACCCGTGGCACCTGGGTCTGCCCCGTGACCTCCTGCCAGCGGGCGTTCGACACTTCACGTGGCCTCAAGGTGCACATGGCCTGGCACAAGCGTCGTGGTGACGTCACCGCCACTTAGTGGCGAATGGCGGTTGTTGTTGTACGTGCGTGCGCGTGTGTGTGTGCGTGCGTGCGCGTGTATGCGTGCGTGCGTGTGCATGCGTGTGTGCTTCGGGAGGTTATTGAAGGTGGATCGATTTCAAAAATGATGACGTAAGAGCCAGACGAGAGCATATTTGATTGATTTTGGAAAGCTGAACAGGACGGTGCAAAGTAAACATACCATTATCCCTAAAGAAGAGTGTTTAATCAGTGTATATTACTTGCTATGACGTATGAATCGGAAACACTGGACATTGACAAAGAAAATGGAAAAAAAGCCGAAATGTGTTTAAAGGAGCGTGGAAAGTGTACGCTTGCGGTTACACCGAGAAACAGACAGAGGGTCGCGTGGATTAGAGAACATTTTTACGAAGGAAGAACGTTTATTTGCACCATACGTAGCCAAGCGTGCTAATAGGAGGAGGTGCGGAGGGGGGAAACAACAAACTAAACACAAAAATCAGTTCGAAAGAAATGAGTTTGCGATCTCGATGATTAAATAATGCGCAGCTCCAGTGGCTTCCTCACATCGGAAGGAGGAGCGTTCCAGACGGCCGCAGAAGCGCACGCGATGCGGCGACCGCCGCCGCCTTTGTTCGATGGCCAGCCAAAAATGCACGCTACAGACGTCGCGTTGGCCAACGAGGAAACAAAGTGGGCTGGGGCAGGACGCGGTGTCGCTGGAGCGGACGATCGACGGCCGGCGACGCGAGACCGACGACAGAGTGGCAGCCAAAGGAGGGAGGACGGACGCCCCGAGGCGACATCCACCACGGAGTGACGGAGTGGTGAAAACCGCTCGTGCGCTGATGCTCAATCGCTCGCTATATATCGCAGGACCATGGCAGATGGCATTGGCCTGGGGAGGCATTAGTCCAGGGTAATGGAAGAGATCCGGGATGGTCGTGATTTGAATGCAATAATAAACAAACATTCTAAATCGTGACAATCGCAAAACCGGTACGCAGTTTCGGTGCTGTTGTCCAAATAAATAAAACGCGCCTCCACTTTTGGATTGTTCCGATGGCACAGCGCTGACAGCGCAAGTGGAAAAATTCGGGATGGAGGAGGGGGGAGTAAAAAGCCCAAAGACTAAAAAAAATAAGCATGCACATTTGGTATTTGGTCCATTCTGTATTGCGCAACGGCGGGTTTTTACGAGGCCGCTGTGGTCGCACTTTGCAATCTTTGCTCAACATTTCCGTCTCGAGTTGACAAGAGTGAGAAACAAAATCACCAACGGCGATGGGTGGACGTGCGGCCTGCGGTCTTCGGTGCGATCAACCTTCAAACGGAGGTGCGATTTCCTAACCATCACTGCCGATGCGCTCGGCCGATTTTCGCTCGATTCATCGACGGAAAAAACTGGGCAGAGCCGCGCCGGAGGTGCGGAGGAGCGAAAGACGGATTCGGATGGAATCTGCGGCGAAGCGGCCTCGCTCACTCACCCTTTTCCTTCGCCGCGTTTCGCACGAGACCGGCGCTCCCCCTGCTTCGCCGCCCCCCCCTCCGGCCCCGTGCTCACTCGCTCAGCCACGTCGAACTCGCGCAGATCGTCCACCTCCTTCATCTGCCCCGTCAGCACCTTCGCCACGAAGGCCACGATGAACTATGGGGCGAGGGGGCAGGGGTGAGGGCGCCGGTAACAGGGAACAGATCAGAAAATAAAACGACACCTCCGCCACGTGTTTATGGGCTTGGGCAGGTCGGAGTTCGTAGATTACTGTTGCCCCCGCCAACCTTGCGGTTAACTGACAGGCGATTTTCTTTGCTACGGTGTGCCCTTTGTATTTACCCGATAAGCTTATAGATTAATGCTAAATTTCCAGAACGCAACGAAACACCACATTCTGGAAATTCACCGCGAGTCCGTAACCTCGTTGGGTTTATTAGGTTTTTTTTTTCCAGCGCTTTGTCTATCCGCGGCTGCGCCACATCTGTACGGGTAAAATAATTGAGGGTTTTTGTTTCTTTCTCTTTCCACATTTGAGAGCCCAAACGGTTAAAACCGACAGTTATTACGGTCTCTGATTAGATGTTCCGATGTCGGCTGCGTGGAGTCTACGCAAGCATGTGTTAGACAAGAAAGTTCAACCGTACATTTGTATCATTACCCACACACACACACACACGCAATAGGTATCACGCTATCTACTGGACCGACTGTTCCTGTTAATGATGCAACGTAAAAAAAAGAATATCTATGGTCTATCAGTTTTGCCGCTGCAACAGCTCATTGTTGCATGCAATATTAATGGGGTACAAAGTGTGCCGCGTGTTTATGCATAAACGCTCTGGACACGCCACCCTGAAAATGCCCGATTTCGTCAGAACTCCGAAGCTAAGCTGGACTTGAACCTGGTTAGTTGCTGGACGTGATAGGCTGCGCCTGTGAGGTGGTCAGCAGGTGGCAGTACAGCAATGAATTATTGAATCCATCCGTACAAAGCTCTGCGTGTTACCCCCTGGGATGCACACGCTCGGCCGCCTCGGTCTCCCCAGTGGCGATGTTTACATACCGATCAGCACGGTTGGCTACGTACGGTGCGACAGAAGTTCAACGCGCATACACGCGCCGCACCGGGTACGTATTTAAGGCTGATTTGACCGAGGGAAGGGCCCAGAATCGGTTCAGATAATCGTCGCTGATGTTGGCGGCCGCGATCGGGAATCAAACTCGGGTCGCCCGGGTCCATAGCGCAGCGAGGTAAACAAAGACAGCGGTCACTGCATCGTGCCGCTTTCAGATGTCCTTCTGCGGCCGTCTGGAACGGTCTTCCTTCCGACATTAAGACGCCACTGTGAGCCATGCACTTTTAAATCGTCGTCGTCGTCGTCGAGATGCTTTTCGTGTTTAGTTTGCTGTCCCCGCCCCGCAACTTAGACTAGCGCGGTCGGCTACGTACGCCGCGAAAGAAGTTCTACACGCACACAAATACGTTACTAGCGGACTGCGATTAGGATACCGAGGGTCGCCGGTTCGACTCAATCTCCCGTGCTCGGCAGTTGAAATAATGGGGTGAGTTTATTTTTTATCTGACAAGAACCTGGGGGGGGGGGGTGGAGCGGGGTGGTAGGGGGATGGCAAGGTTGGGGGGGGGGGGGGGGGGGAGCTCCGACTGACCGAGAACCAGTAGACGTTCATGCCGGTGAGTATGATGAGCAGAGAGTTGAACAAGAAGTAGAAGGGAAGGCCCGGGATGATGGCGAGCACCGTGACGGCGGTCGTGTGCACCACCTTGAGCGGGAACCAGTAGAGGCGGCACACGAACCTGCGTGGCCGCGGCACCACCGGGGTGGGTGGAGAGAGTGGGGGGGGGGGGGGGAGCGGACGGGGGGCAGAGGAAACGTGCGGCCAAATCCGCCAACCCGGAGGCGCATCGAGAAACTTACCACGGTGGGGGCAGTCGATAAATGTCAAGGTTTTTTAAATAGGGCCCCACGTGAATAAATAAAACGCACAATGCGAAGCGTTTTGTCTCGTGAATATCAATATTAGCAATTATAATAATTGCGTAGCGTCGTTTGTGCAAATTGCATCGCGACGTGCTGCAAGGCGAGAACCACACTGACGTAAAAAAATGGCATGACAACACCACAGAGACACACAACATGAACACAATACAGGGTACACAGGTGAACACAATACGATCCAGCAGGAACACCACAGAGACACACAACATGAACACAATACAGGGTACACAGGTGAACACAACACGATCCAGAGAGAACACCACAGAGACACACAACATGAACACAATACAGGGTACACAGGTGAACACGACACGATCCAGAGAGAACACCACAGAGACACACAATATGAACACAATACAGGGTACACAGGTGAACACAACACGAACCAGAGAGAACACCACAGAGACACACAACATGAACACAATACAGGGTACACAGGTGAACACAACACGATCCAGCAGGAACACCACAGAGACACAGCACGGACACGATCTATCGAACAGCAAGTAGTAATTTTGTCCATAATAAAGGTTTTTGGGTTAGATCGCGTTATTTATAAATGTGTCATAACCCTCCACCACCCGACACGGCCAAACAGTAAAAAAGTGTCACGTTTACAAAGGACAAATAGTTCACTACTTTAGCCCACCAGTGTATTGAAGAGTGAATGAACATCATTTAAAATTTGAGTACAACGTTTCGCTGGTAATTACATCCAGCATCATCGGCTGGATATGTTGTTGTTGTTGTTGTTCTGACTTTATGGGAACGAAAAGACACAAATTCACCCATTTTCTCATTGAAAAGAGGTAAATTTCAAAATATCAGTGTCCTGGTCACAAAAGCAAAGTTTGTGGGGAATAACAGCCATTTTCTGTACTTTTGAGGCATAAGCAATTAGGAAATACCACTTACTACCCAGGAACAAAATGTTTTTGTGACACAGTGTAATGCGCGTCTTGGAACGTGTCACGTAATCCAAGCATCCTGGATGGTCTTTCCGAACACGTTTGCCCTTCTTTTATTGCACGTTGTTTGTTTTTATTCTCTTCTCATTTGGACACAGTTTGGTTCACTCCACGTGTCTACATAAATAACACCCGCGCACTACTTGATTGAAAACGTGCGTAAACTTTTTTTTACACCCTTGACTGCAGGAATTCATATTCTTTGGGTTTTTCGGTAAAGTCACGCAGATAGGTTCAAAGAAAACAACAACAAAAAGTAACAAGAAACTACGACGTTTCGATCACAACGCAAGCGGTCGTCATCAGGAGGAAAAAAAGAGAGGAAAGCTGCCGAGGGAGACTGTTTTAAATGTTTTGAAGGTTTAACCAAAACCTTTAAAACAGTTTTAAATGTTTTGAAGGTTTAACCAAATTTTTTAAAACAGTTTTAAATGTTTTGAAGGTTTAACCAAAACCTTTCAAACAGTTTTAAATGTCTTGAAGGTTTAAACCAAAACCTTTAAAACAGTTTTAAACGCTTTGAAGGTTTAACCAAAACCTTTAAAACAGTTTTAAATGTTTTGAAGGTTTAACCAAAACCTTTAAAACAGTTTTAAATGTTTTGAAGGTTTAACCAAAACCTTTAAAACAGTTTTAAATGTTTTGAAGGTTTAACCAAAACCTTTAAAACAGTTTTAAATGTTTTGAAGGTTTAACCAAAACCTTTAAAACAGTTTTAAATGTTTTGAAGGTTTAACCAAAACCTTTAAAACAGTTTTAAATGTTTTGAAGGTTTAACCAAAACCTTTAAAACAGTTTTAAATGCTTTGAAGGTTTAACCAAAACCTTTAAAACAGTTTTAAATGTTTTGAAGGTTTAACCAAAACCTTTAAAACAGTTTTAAATGTTTTGAAGGTTTAACCAAAACCTTTAAAACAGTTTAAAATGTTTTGAAGGTTTAACCAAAACCTTTAAAACAGTTTAAAATGTTTTGAAGGTTTAACCAAAACCTTTAAAACAGTTTTAAATGTCTTGAAGGTTTAACCAAAACCTTTAAAACAGTTTTAAATGTTTTGAAGGTTTAACCAAAACCTTTAAAACAGTTTTAAATGTTTTGAAGGTTTAACCAAAACCTTTAAAACAGTTTTAAATGTTTTGAAGGTTTAACCAAAACCTTTAAAACAGTTTAAAATGTTTTGAAGGTTTAACCAAAACCTTTAAAACAGTTTTAAATGTTTAGAAGGTTTAACCAAAACCTTTAAAACAGTTTAAAATGTTTAGAAGGTTTAACCAAAACCTTTAAAACAGTTTAAAATGTTTTGAAGGTTTAACCAAAACCTTTAAAACAGTTTTAAATGTTTTGAAGGTTTAACCAAAACCTTTAAAACAGTTTAAAATGTTTTGAAGGTTTAACCAAAACCTTTAAAACAGTTTAAAATGTTTTGAAGGTTTAACCAAAACCTTTAAAACAGTTTAAAATGTTTTGAAGGTTTAACCAAAACCTTTCAAACGGTTTAAAATGTTTTGAAGGTTTAACCAAAATCTTTAAAACAGTTTTAAATGTTTTGAAGGTTTAACCAAAACCTTTAAAACAGTTTTAAATGGTTTGAAGGTTTAACCAAAACCTGTAAAACAGTTTTAAATGTGTTGAAGGTTTAACCAAAACCTTTAAAACAGTTTTAAATGTTTTGAAGGTTTAACCAAAACCTTTAAAACAGTTTGAAATGGTTTGAAGGTTTAACCAAAACCTTTAAAACAGTTTTAAATGCTTTGAAGGTTTAACCAAAACCTTTAAAACAGTTTTAAATGTTTTGAAGGTGTAACCAAAACGTTTAAAACGGTTTTAAATGTTTTGAAGGTTTAACCAAAACTTTTAAAACAGTTTAAAATGTTTTGAAGGTTGAACCAAAACCTTTAAAACAGTTTTAAATGTTTTGAAGGTTTAACCAAAACCTTTAAAACGGTTTTAAATGTTTTGAAGGTTTAACCAAAACCTTTAAAACAGTTTTAAATGTTTTGAAGGTTTAACCAAAACCTTTTAAACAGTTTTAAATGTTTTGAATGTTTAACCAAAACCTTTAAAACAGTTTAAAAATGTTTGAAGGTTTAACCAAAACCTTTAAAACAGTTTTAAATGTTTTGAAGGTTTAACCAAAACCTTTTAAACAGTTTTAAATGTTTTGAATGTTTAACCAAAACCTTTAAAACAGTTTAAAATGTTTTGAAGGTTTAACCAAAACCTTTAAAACAGTTTTAAATGCTTTAAAGGTTTAACCAAAACCTTTAAAACAGTTTTAAATGTTTTAAAGGTTTAACCAAAACCTTTAAAAGTTTTAAATGGTTTGAAGGTTTAACCAAAACTTTAAAACAGTTTTAAATGCTTTGAAGGTTTAACCAAAACCTTTAAAACAGTTTTAAATGCTTTGAAGGTTTAACCAAAACCTTTAAAACCGTTTTAAATGCTTTGAAGGTTTAACCAAAACCTTTAAAACAGTTTTAAATGCTTTAAAGGTTTAACCAAAACCTTTAAAACAGTTTTAAATGTTTTGAAGGTTTAACCAAAACCTTTAAAACAGTTTTAAATGCTTTGAAGGTTTAACCAAAACCTTTAAAACAGTTTTAAATGTTTTGAAGGTTTAACCAAAACCTTTAAAACAGTTTTAAATGTTTTTAAGTTTTAACCAAAATCTTTAAAACAGTTTTAAATGCTTTGAAGGTTTAACCAAAACCTTTAAAACAGTTTAAAAATGTTTTGAAGGTTTAACCAAAATCTTTAAAACAGTTTTAAATGCTTTGAACGTTTAACCAAAACTTTTAAAACAGTTTTAAATGTTTTGAAGGTTTAACCAAAACCTTTAAAACAGTTTTAAATGCTTTGAACGTTTAACCAAAACTTTTAAAACAGTTTTAAATGCTTTCAAGTTTTAACCAAAACCTTTAAAACAGTTTTAAATGTTTTGAATGTTTAACCAAAACCTTTAAAACAGTTTTAAATGTTTTGAAGGTTTAACCAAAACCTTTAAAACAGTTTAAAATGTTTTGAAGGTTTAACCAAAACCTTTAAAACAGTTTTAAATGTTTTGAAGGTTTAACCAAAACCTTTAAAACAGTTTTAAATGCTTTGAAGGTTTAACCAAAACCTTTAAAACAGTTTTAAATCCTTTGAAGGTTTAACCAAAACCTTTAAAACAGTTTTAAATGCTTTAAAGGTTTAACCAAAACCTTTAAAACAGTTTTAAATGTTTTAAAGGTTTAACCAAAACCTTTAAAAGTTTTAAATGGTTTGAAGGTTTAACCAAAACTTTAAAACAGTTTTAAATGCTTTGAAGGTTTAACCAAAACCTTTAAAACAGTTTTAAATGCTTTGAAGGTTTAACCAAAACCTTTAAAACCGTTTTAAATGCTTTGAAGGTTTAACCAAAACCTTTAAAACAGTTTTAAATGCTTTAAAGGTTTAACCAAAACCTTTAAAACAGTTTTAAATGTTTTGAAGGTTTAACCAAACCTTTAAAACAGTTTTAAATGCTTTGAAGGTTTAACCAAAACCTTTAAAACAGTTTTAAATGTTTTGAAGGTTTAACCAAAACCTTTAAAACAGTTTTAAATGTTTTTAAGTTTTAACCAAAATCTTTAAAACAGTTTTAAATGCTTTGAAGGTTTAACCAAAACCTTTAAAACAGTTTAAAATGTTTTGAAGGTTTAACCAAAATCTTTAAAACAGTTTTAAATGCTTTGAACGTTTAACCAAAACTTTTAAAACAGTTTTAAATGTTTTGAAGGTTTAACCAAAACCTTTAAAACAGTTTTAAATGCTTTGAACGTTTAACCAAAACTTTTAAAACAGTTTTAAA